ACACGAGACACACACACACACACACACACACACACACAAACACACGTACACGCACACAAACACACACACACACACACACATACACACGAGACACACACACACATACACACACACACACACACACACACACACACACACATATACATTGTGCATTGCATACACATTTGCGGGCAGGGTTGTCAATGAGCCACGTTAATTTGTCTATGGAATAAGAGTCCCTTCTGAATAAACGACCATCTCTTATAAGACTGGGCCATATTGATGGAGAGCTTTTAAAACGTCCCGAGACGAAAGTTTTGGGTTTCAAACGGGGGCCAACCAACCGTATAATAGTCCAGCATAATACCAACTGAGCTAACTTTGCGCCTTGAAGGGTGCGTGGAGGTGATAGTATGGAACAATATGTAACATAATATTAACATACAGAAACATAAACACACACACTCACTCATACAAACACACACATACACATACATACACACACACATACATGCACATGTACTTGCACACACACACACACACACATACTCTCACATACATGCATTTGCACCTGCATACAGACACACACACACACACACACACACACACACACACACGCACATGCACACACACACACACACACACTTGTATGCAGACATAAAGCACACACACATACACACACATACACACACATACACACACACAAACACACACACATACACTCAAACAAATACACACACACGCACACACACACACAGTCATCCACTCTTTCGTTTTACGGTATTATCATTTCAGGCGGGATGTATTTGCTGACATCAGCATTATCAGCTCTCACATCGTGTGTCGGCAAGAGTGATATATCCGACACCCCCATCACGGACCACACTTTGATACTGACAGAAGCCTCAGAACCTCTGCATGACGCGGTGGACTTTGGTTTAGAGAGTGAGCCAAACAGTGCCCCGGATGAAAAGTGTCTTAAATAGAGTTTCACAGGCAAGGAAGGAAGAACATTATTTTTCTTCAATTCGAGTGTACACTGCCAATCGAATTCATTTAGCTAGTCAGATTTTCTTTAATGAATAGGGCCAAAACTACAATTTATGCCGCAATTCAACTGAATTCGACGACTAAATTCGACCGTGACCTTCAAAATCAAACTCGTTCGTTTTTGAAGGTCGTTTGTCGAATCGGTCGTATTGAGCCACAATGATAGTTTTTGCCTCTTCCTGGAGGAGAATCTGGCTAGCCCAGACTCAATCTTAATGAATACGATTCTTGAGGATTCCAAAGAAACGATTATTCTCGTCATCATCATCACAATGTGCCATATCTGAAATTAACACTCATAGTTCATTTCTCTGCCCGAACTAAAAAAAATAAAAAAAGAAGAAAAAATCCAACCCAAAACAAGACACAAAACTAAAAAACCCTCTAAACCAACATCAACCAACCAACCAACTAACCAACCAACCAACTAACCAACCAACCAACTAACCAACCAACTAACCAACCAACCAACCAACCAACTAACCAACTAACCAACCAACCAACCAACCAACCAACCAACCAACCAACCAACCAACCAACCAACCAACCAACTACCCTTTTCACTCAAGTTTATTTTGTGAAGCTAATTTGCAACAACAACAAAATCCTGTCTTTCTTTACATATCAGTTTTTATTCTTTGATTTTACTGAGGAGAACCAACTTGTACCTGTTTGTTGCTAAGCAAGGTGGATTTAGTACCGAAGATTAGAGGTGTTACCAGAGAGAAATGTATTATATTATACAAGGGAAAAAGAATAAGAAATAAGAACAATAGGTGTTTGATAGAAAGCAGGAGCAAACAACACCAGAGCACCCATGCACACATGTAGGCACACACACACACATACACAGTAACACACACACACACACACACACACACACACACACACACACACACACACACACACACACACACGTGCGCGCACACACGCACACACACAATTTGTGTTTTATCTTTTCTGGCCCTCTACATGTAAATTATTTACACTTAAAAAACCCCAGCTTTTTAACTTTGAAATATATTTTAACAGTTTCTAGTCCTGCCTAAATTATTTTGTAGCCGGCTGATAAAACAAGCAAACTTATGTTTCATATCATTTTGTTATTCATCTGTTATTCTGACTTAGTTGCCTTTCAAGAGTAGAACTACCTCTATTATTATAGTGCAATACCCAGTATTCTTGCTGTCTTGTGATGACCAGTGTGTTAAAACAAACAATCAAATTTATTTTTAATTCATTCAAATGTCATCAAAAGTAATTTCTGAATCTAGATCGATGAGAGATACCCAGCTATTTAGCCAAAACTGTAACACAATGTAATATTTAAGTGTTGTTGCTTATCATTATTATTTGTAAAGCACCAAGAGTAAGAACCTCTGTTCTTAATCGGGTATTATTATTACTATTATGATGATAATGATGATGATGATGATGATGATGATGATGATGACGATTATCATTATTATCATTATTACTATTGTTGTTATTATTATTATTATTATTATTATTATTGTTATTATTAATATTGTTGAATATAATAATAATAATTGTTGTTCTTGTATAAAATTTATGATTACTATTATAATCGCCTTTCCTCATGCTCTGCAAGAAGCAGGCCTTCTTCAGGTCGTTGAAAGGGTTTAATTTGTAGGCCCAAGTTGTGTGAAAGTTGTGTGAAAAAAGTGACTCTCTCTCTCTCTCTCTCTCTCTCTCTCTCTCTCTCTCTCTCCACTGCCTGTTCGCGTGTGCGTGCCGTGCGTGCATACGTGTCTGTTAGTGTATGTGTGTGTGTGTGAGTGTGTGTGTGTGTGTATGTGTGTGCGTGTGTGGGAGTGCGCGTTTGCTCGTATGCGTGCGTGTGTGTGCGCACCCGTGCATGCGTATTTGAGCATGCCTGCGAATGTGTGTGTGTGTGTGTGTGTATGTGTATATTATCTAAACCGATGTTTGTTTCAATAAATGCATAATGTTCCAAATTGTTCAGCTCGTGTTGTGTAAAACTATGAGAGTTTTTGTTGAACGCCAGCGATAGAGTTAATGATCCATACACACCCAGATGCTTATTTAAAGTTTATTAGGTGCACAGCGGTTCCACGCGGATATTGTTGATTATGTAAATGAGTCAAACTGGGAAAGAGAAAAATACGCTATTAAACAGAGCGAGAGAGGGAAGGAGGGGGAGAGAGAGAGAGAGAGAGAGAGAGAGAGAGAGAGAGAGAGAGAGAGAGAG